TCACTTCCGGGTGGAGCTCTTGTCGTAGAGCAAGTAGCTCGGAGCGCTACCAATGCAGCATCAATCCCAGCCCTGAATGTCGATTTTCGTGGCAATGGATCAGCAGCCGACCTTTTCAAGTATGCCATGTTCAGTACAATGCCCGATGGCGACTACAAGTATGTTTTCCCATGCCAATCTCCCACCTGAAGCTCAATTCTGACTCACAGCTAGAATGCCGATCTTGGAGTACTCGGCCATTGGCAAACGATCTTTACTTGAAGGTGCCTATCTCACTCGCACATCACCTTGCGGAGTCAACTGCTCATATGACCTCCAATTTGCGGCTCCGTCCCTTCAATGCAAGGACGCGAACCCTGTTTCAACAGCGAAATTGTACTTCAACACGGACCTCAACGACACCTACGCGCAAAACGGATTCTATCGAGCATCTCATTACCCACACAATCCTAACTTCAAGAGAGTCAACGATCTGTATGAATTTGTCATGATCTGGGCCGAGAGTGATGGGCAGCGGCAGAATGCTACATTGCGGGCACTGAACTGCGTCGCAATGGCGGCCACGTACAATGCTCATGTCAATTACACCAACTCCATTCAGGCCATAACTGTGGGTATTACGAACGAGAAACCATTGAATGCAACGGCGTTATTTTACCCCAGCCTTTTCTACGGCGAGCGACATGCCAAAGACGGTCCGAATGGCATTGAGTACATATATCCGACTTACACTCATTCCAAAGATGAGTTGAACGCCTTATTCCACGGCTGTCAGCTTCTCTCCATGGCCGAAACCCTCACAGAACCTCTCAAGGGTGATGCTGTTTATCTCGGTAAGTTCTCTGCCCTTTCTGTCGCCTATTGATTCCCATCTCGGCCTTTCGTTCTGTGACTCTGTGACTCTGTGACACGTTGACTAATCTTATCTGACTGCAGGAACCGACGGTTACAACAGGAGCAGTTCTCTGATTCAAGAAACGCCTCTCACAAGGGCAGCCTATGACGAACAAACGAAGGACTACACGTATATGGACTACAACCTGTCTCCAGACATTCTTCGCGATCTCATGACCAATGTCTCCCTCTCAATATTCAATGACGGCCAGCACTTGACGTCAACTTCCGTCACGACCGAAACCTATAGGCTAAGTTACGTTTTCAAGTCCCCCTGGAGACTCATTGCGGTGTACGCCGCAGATTTGATTGTGACTGCGATCTTCTTGTTACTCGGCTTAATTGCCATGTTCCAGAACGGCGTCGCGGCGACTCCTGGAGGCTTCCTGCAGATTTTGTGCACCACGACTCATGAACATGGGACTTTGAATCAGTTGGCGAGACAGGCTTGTTCTGGTGGTAAGGAGGGCATGCCGGAGCGTTTGATGAAGCTCAAGGTCAGGTTCGGGGAGGTTGTGGATATGAATGAGGATTCGCGGTTTGCGGCATTCGGGACGGAGGAAGAGACGAGCTTGTTGGTTAATGAACGGGCTCTATCACCTTTAAAACGTCAACAGCATGACTAGAAAAACGAAGCAGATCCCCGATTCTTCCTGTGTACTCGCACTCGTCGTCGTCCTCGTCGTCGTCCGCGTCGTCATCCTCGCCGTCGTCATCCTCCTCATCTCTAACCACTGTAATTTAGTATCGTCCACCATCGAAGTAAAACTTCAATCTTTTGATTAAATAGGACGTTAAGCAGCACAGACACATAAGAACTAGGCTGTCTCAAACGCGAGAATTGTTTGACTGCCGTTTATTCAATATTCATAATCCGCATACCTCCTGACCGCAACTCCACTAGACGACACTCGACTAGCTCAGCCAGGAGAGGTCCAGCAACAAAAAGCTACGAGAAAAACAACACAATACCCTATTGAATTCAACCTGACTTAGTGGTTTCGTCCCTAAAAGTATAATACCCTCTATAGAGGTCTTCTGACTCGGCCGGCGGCCTCTCGATGATTTTGGGGGAAATCTCCTGTTTATTGTCTGTTATCAAGCAATAAGGTGTCTCCTTGCCATCAATTTCTCCACTGTTGTTCACCGGGCGGTATGTTGGGCGTTTCTTGATACGCTCGACTAGGGATGAGTGCAAGACTGCGTCGCACGGGATATCTCGGGTTTCGCCCATGTTGAGGGGAAACATCTGCCAGTGCCAGTGGGAACGATAAGTGTCGGCGGCGTGTTCTTTGTCGACGGCGTGTTCTTTGTCGGCGCGAACGGTCTCCCTTTTGAGCTCCCATCGTTTGGTCAAGGGGTAGAACTCTGTTCATGTCAGTCATACTCTAACACAAGAATAATGCAAGAGCCTTACCCAGAAAGTTCCAAAATAGGACAGACCCTATGGTGTCACCGAAGCCGAATTTGAGCGGGTCGTGAAGAGACGCGAGTACGGCGTCGTGCTTGTGGTACAGGTAACGAATCTTGAAGTCGGCGACTTTCTCCGGAACCCACCTGATTCCCTTGCCATCAGGCCAGAAGTCTTTCTCGCCACGTTGTCGCTTGTCTGCCTCTTCAACCTCTTGAATCATCCAATACAGAGGGGCATCGCTCAGTTGGCAAGGCCTCATGCGGTACCGGTGAGAGCAGTAGTCGTGTTGGCCGTCATTGCGACACCTCCCACATTGATTCTTGGAGCAATACGACTTGGAGTGCTCGTCCTCGCATTCATCCAATTCCTCCAAGGTTGCATGAGACTGTTCGCATTGGCCCCAGTCGTTTTGTCCTCCCTTTTTTGACTCCCTTCTCAGCTTCCGAAGTTTCTTCCAAGACTCCAGGCGTAACGAGATCGTGGCTTTCTTGTCGTCGGTCGAAAGAAAGTCACTTTCGGGGTGCCAACCACCGCCGACATCGCTATGGCTGCCCGGGAACCAGACTTCCTTGATGTGCTCTTCTCGGATGCCCTTACTTGCTTTGTCCTGATCGAAGAGTGCTGGCTTGAACTTAACGCGGCGCTCGTCGACAGCCACGGCATGCCTGATTATGTCCGCAGTCCCCTGGACTTTGACGTTCGCTGTCGTCTTCTTTTCCAAAACGGACACCGAGTTGACGCAGTCCCAAAGGCCCAGGAAGAAGACCTTAATGTTAGTCCCGGCCCTTGGCGCCCTCCAGCAGAAGGTGTCGCTAAACGCGACCAACTCGCACGTGGCCGCTGTGCACTTCTTTGCAGATTGGTTCGTCTTATAGTCGTTGTGTTGAGATAGGTGGTGGTCGCCTTTCTTGGCAGCCTTGAACTCGCCGTTCAGGTGCCGCTGGTAGAGGCGATATGCGAACGGCACCATCTCCTCGTTCCCTTTACAGAGAAGTCCGACTGTAAATACCATGCGAGAGAGAAACCTGGCGGTGTATGCCCCGCGACTGAACCCGAAAACGTAAATTCTGTCACCCTGTCATCGTTGAGGGTTAGTTGAAATACTGGCAGTCTCCAGAGAAGCGGTTTACTGACGGGCGCATAGTATTGCATCAAGAATCGGTAGCCGGCAATGACGTGCGCGTCAAATGTGATGCCGATTCCCTGGTCAACCATTTTCCAGAAGCTACTCTTCATCTCGCCGAAGCTGGACTTATGGACGGTCTTCTCTTTGACATCATAAGTGCCAATGCCGGCTGGGAACCCATAAGTAACTAGGTAACTTTCAGATTCGATGAACGCACTTTGATAGTAGTGATACTGATTGCAGGCGTTGCGGTCCATCATATTGAGCAATTTGACCACATTAGTGTCCTTGTCAGACCCGGTGAACTCATTTCCGGTGCCATCGAAGAAGAGCACAAGGTTCCGTGGTTCCCGTTCCGGCTTTTGTTCTTTGGATTGTTCGCCCTCCGACCCCTCAGTGGTGGGTAATAACGGGTAGATTGGCGGCATTGTAACTGAGTGCTCTGAGGGAAAAGCGTCGCTAATTGACAGTGAAAACAAGGGTAATTAGAATGAAGTCTCAAGTGCGAATGCTAGCAAGTTAGAAACCACGAAAAGCGGCCGACCGCTTCGTTGAGATTACTTTAAATATACTAACCCGTCCTCCTATGTCATTGATGAAATCAAACACCAAAGCGATTCTCACGACGGACCCGGACAAGAAGAGGTAAATAACGTCACCTCTGCACAGTCCGTGGAATCAGATGTCTAATTATCGCTGTCGGCTTGACTCACATTGCGCAAAGTCTCAGCCTTGTCTTCAGATCTGAGACCTTCCATCTACCAGCAAACGGGTCAACGTCACCGGACTTAGTTCCTAGAACCTCAAGCTTCAGTGGCTGCCGATCTTATCCTCAGAAGCGAAGGTGATTTGCCGCTAAAATGTCTTGTTTTGATCGGCCGTCCAAAGAAGCGCCAACCGCTTACCGACTACAGCTGTTCCAGTTTGCCAATGTCTGAAGGGTTTCCGCATCTGGACTTATCCTGCTTTGCGTGATTGACGAAAACGTCACATGCAAATTATCTATGTTTTGGATGTCCAATGTCTCGGTAGACCTAAATCCCGTATCTTCGATTGTCTGTCGACGTTCCGTAAGAAATTGTGCCCTGATCCATCCTCAACCTTTCGCTAGCACCAGTGTCTGACTGACCCAAACCTGGGCAAGGTGCCTGTGTCTATGACTTCCACCGCCTTTCATACAGTAAGGTCCCCAGTATCAATTTGTCGTCTCAAGATACCCAAGATTATCGCGTGTTTGCTTCCTTTAGTTAGAGGCAGTAAACGGAGATGGCAGGCGAGAAAGTCTACAACGATAGAGACGATAGGACGACGATGTTTCCCTTCCTCTCTCCGATGACATATAAAATAGAGTTGACAAGAAATTTTAAACTATATCGTGACGCTACCTTGAAGTCACACCTCTGCATCGCCTAGAGAATCAAGGGTCTCCGATTGAATACGCAAGCTTATATGTACCAAGCCTTTAACTTTTAGTAAATTCGAAAAGAAAGCATCTGTCGCATTGCCCCTGAACGGCACATTTATAGACCCCGAGCAAGGCACACAGCAACGATGAACACAGCAACGATGGCGTCCCCGTTCTCGATCCTTCCTCAAGAGACGCGCGACCACATATGGGACATGTTGAGCAAGGAAGAAGATCACACAAGTCTTCTTCATACCAACTCCCAGCTAAGATCCGACATCCTTGACCGTCTGCCTCGCAGACGTGTTCGCTGCAACTGCCGCCTCGGAAAGACAGCCCCCTCTCCCGACGAGAAGCACGACTGCGAGCGTATTGACATCGACAAGCTGTGCGTCTTTGTCGACTCAGAGTTCATAAGAGGCTCAGCTATGAGGATCCAGGCCACCTGGGCGGTGGACGAAGGACCTGAGAAACAAGGGATTCGTCACAGAACGTCAATGTGGTCGATCAAGAACACACGCTCCGTCTTCGCCAAGGTCCTCAAACACTACAACCCCAAAGAGGTGGTTGTCTCCATACAGGCTCCTCCAGGTGGAAACCACAGAGCCGCACTCCTCGTCTTGCTCGCAAAGGTCTGCGATGCAGCCGAAGTTGTCGATCGGCTGGGCGATTACACGGGCTCATTCGGCATACATTTTAGCGAGATCAGAAAAGTCGATGGTGAGCCAAGTACGCCTTTCTGGGAGCGCGATAAAGTCTCGCTTTGGGCCGGGAACAATCCAAAGCTGATACGCTTCTACGACTGCATCATGTTTTCTCTGCTTTATGGAACATCGAGAGGCCCCTACGGTGCGAAGGTAACCTTCGAACATCCGCCGAAGACGAGGGGCTTGCTCTTCAAGAACACCCCAAGAACACCTGGCCAAGAGGAATTAGACTGGAGCATCGTGGAGGGCATCATGTGTTTGGAGTATATAAAGACGGGTATCATCACCGTAAGTTCTGGGTATCTTCCTCAGCCTGCAACGAAGAGACCCTGCGGCGAAATCCTGACATTCAGATGGAACAATTCATGGACGAATCCGTGGAGGGAAGATCCGCGCAGAGCTGAGGAAGTTGATCGCATTTTGGACCAATTGAACAACTTCTACAATGCATTGTTCGAGGATCTTTACAAATCGGGCAGCTGTCGCAGGTGTCCGACCGAAACTGGCCCTCCAGAGTTGAGGGGGCTGAGGAAGTACATCACCTTGTCCATGCCGGCGAGGGAGAGATTCACGCAGCATCCCAAGCCGGAGGCCGATTGGTTTGCACCATCTATCAGTTTGCTAAAGTATCAATTTGTCTCTTGGGCTTTGGGTTGTTCCGATAAAGCGTGCACAAAATGCTACATGACGTCAGGTATTTCTCGTGAAGGGTTCATGGACGACGCGACTTTACTCAAGACTGCTGGGCATAGAGTTACAAAATTGAAGATCGGTCATGCATCTACTGTATAGAGAGATATAAAAGTACAGGACTGCCTGTTCTTTTCATCATCTATAGAGATGGAGACATATCTCCGTTCGATACAACATCCTTCGGCCATCGATAGTATGCATGGAGAAACCAACGCTGTTTTGCCTGTCCTCAAGCTTCCGCGCCGTGCGTTTTCAAACAGGTGACTGCGGGGTAAATGTGAGGGGCACATCGGGAGGACTCTGAGCAATAATATCCTGCACGAACTGGCCCAGCGTGGTGTCAATGGGAGTGTCGCTCGGAGTCCAGCCAAGCTCAACTGGCAAACGCTCGTTCCCTATGGATGATTAGAATATGTCGAAGACCAGTGTGGGATCACAATAACTTACTAAAGAAGTACTCCATGAATGACCTATTCGCTACCGGGTTTTCCGGATGACCAAAGATGGCCAGCATGAAGGCGTTCTCGCCGACGATGACCGGAATCTGTTCTTGGATTATGGAGAAGCTTGGATTGATCTCGCTCATGTCGAGGGCATGTCTGGCACGAGCGTTGGCTATGATGGACGTGTTGATGGCTTGCTCGTCTCCAAAGTAGCTGACAAAGTTGTCAAAGGTCCCCTTGTCAAAGGAGTTTGTGGGGTCGAAGACGGCATCGCGGCGGGAGAGACTGCCGTCATGTTCGATGACATTGTGGGCATGGAGCATCTCGAGGTCGAAGAACTGTTACATCCGTGGTCAGCTCACCCTCTCGAGGTGCGATGCAGATGTTTCTCTTACCGTGGCATTGGGAAGAGGGTTGACTGCAAGAGCGGTCTCAAAGATGTTGAGAGCGCGGGCTTCAGCCACGTTCAATGCATCCTTCACCCCTTTTGTGAGCTTTTCGAGTGTAATGTTTCGACCGTCGTGTGGAACGAAGCCATGGTTTGCGAGGGTATTCATCGTCGGGCACGGGGACCGTTCTGCGTAGATTCTGTTAGCACATTCAAGTGTCCCCGTCGAGGCAGATGCAGACATACGATCACCGGGTCCCGGAGCTTTCCAGAAGAAGTGATTCGGCGTCAGACGTCCGGTTCCATTTCCTGACTTGATAACCGGCGACCGGATTGGGTGTCCCAATCCAGAGTTGGCAAAGTGAGGGAAGCTATGAGCCAAGGGGGCCAGACCCATGATGACCATAGAAGAAAGATGCATTGTGGAATTGATCTGAAGGAGAAGTTGGAGAGATGAATGATATGTTTGAGTCTGTGGGAACGATGCTTCGATACTCCATGACGGCAACATCTCAAACAACAGGCAGGCCTTTATATCAATCATTCAAACATTCTACTTTCACGCTGAGCACCACGCCTCCCTTCCATTATCGAATAAAAATTTGCCTATTTACTAGCAAAATCTCAACACGGCGATGCTTGAAATTGCCTCTTGGCGCAATGAAAGTCAGCATTGTGTTGACGAGGCCATCACCAGCCACTGACCCGCCCGACTGCGAAAACGAGAACGAGCCACGAGAACGAGCCTCACAGACAGCATCACGTATCGCATTTCGACGAAACCAAACGTCATGGATGTGAGCCCTTCAAATGTGGCTGTGAGGGCAGATCATTCTTCCTCGCAGGATCTCTCGACATCGTTCTCGATATATCGCACATCGACAATACCGTCGCTGAAGTCTGCGTTTCAGCTAGACCCGCTGTTTGTTCCCCTCAGGCGATGACTTGCCTGACGAGCGAGTAGCTTGAGATGACGGACAGTGAGACACAAATCGGCAATGACTTGCTGCGCAGACACGATCTTCTCAACGTGACTCATTCGACGGGTGGAATGGCCGGCCCGTGTTGGGGAGAAAAGAAGGCTAACAGCGGGGAGGTAGGTCGAGATCTTTGATCCGTTCGGGTACTCTGCAGTAGCCGTTGGTACCTGAGCAGGGATGTTCGCCCACCGCCTGTTTCAAAACCTCGAGTCTCTGCGCCTCTAATTGTCATCCCCTCTTCGCTCGAATCCGCTTTCCACATCAGAAATTCGTATAACGCAGAGAGGGCCGGGCCAGACAGAATGGCCGTTGCCAGCTCACCGCAGACACGTGGCACACCGCCCCGGAGGCGAACGCACCATTTGTGCGTGCCCAGCTGAGGCTGACGGTGTTCGTCGAGAGTCCGCAGCTGCTTCTCGAAGCGAACATCGGACAGCGGTTTTGCACTTTAAAAAGGAGCTGAACCCTGGAAAAAAGAGCATGGTTGCCCAGGACAATACGGACGCTGACGTCTTGGACGGAAACCAGCCTTGGAAAGCTTGGAAGAGCTCGGGCGATCAGTTCGGGCGGTCACGTGCCGATAGGAGCTTTCCAGCCACCGGGACACTAACCCGTTACCCCCAAGTGGCCTATCGATAGGCTGGGCTCCACCACACCCGCTGCCCGTTGCCCGCTGTGGAGCCAGGATTCGGCGCCAAGGGCGACCCGGTTACCCCGCGCAACCACGCTGCAGGTCCGGCTGGGTTGTCAGCGACCACCTGGTGAGCTCACAGACAGGACGAACCCACTCTCTTTTTCTCTTGGAGAAACCTAAGGTAGTCTCTCGTCGCTAAGGTAGTGACACAAGTTTTCGGGTTCATCCTGAAGATTTTCTTTGTTCCCAACCTCCCGACACCTTATCTTTCCCCTGGGGGTAGGGCGCATGTTCTGCTTCAAACATTCCAGCGCAGACGCCAGCACCGAAACTTCCCCCACTTGCACCTCCGGCCGGCTCACTGACCGACTTTCAGGAAACCGCCCAACCCACCCAAACGATAAACGCAACCATTCCTCGGGGTCCCTTTCCTTTTGAGGATCTCGAGAGTCGTCCACGGCAAAGACGCCAAACGGTTTTCCCGTATTCTTCAACACCTCCCACCCGCGTCTGAAGAACTCCTCCGCTCGTTGTCGCCATCATGGCGCCGGCAGAAGGGTTCTCGGCGCCGGGCGTCGCTACCTACGACTCCAACACCATGACGGTCGGCGACGGAACCTGGGATTTTGAGAAGAACACCTTCTTGCTGCCCAACCTCCAAGGTCTCAATTTCGAGACGATGCAGTACAATGGTGAATGCGTCCCGGCCGCGTTTTCGATGATGACACTCCACTAACACAGACCACCATAGGCATGGGCAACCGCTTCTCGACAGTCGCACAGTACCACACCCTCATTCTCGCTCACGGTGTCATGGGAGCCATCGTCTTCCTTGTCATCGTCCCGTTCTCCGTCTTGACGGTTCGATTTTACACAAGAAAGCCCGGTTACGCCGTACCCTACCACGCCCAGCTACAGATCCTGGGAGCGCTCTTGCTTGTCGCCGTGTTCACCTTGGGCTGGTTCGCCGTCGGCCCCGAACGAAGCTGGACGAACCCGCACCACGCCATCGGCCTGGCAATCTTCATCATGTTTCTCCTGCAGATCATCGGCGGCCGGCTCGTGAGGAACATCAGGGGACGCTCGCTCAGAAAGATGTTTCATCGGTGGAGCGGACGGCTCATCGCTCTGCTTGGTCTCATTCAGGTGCCTCTCGGATTGACGCTCTACGGCTCCCCCAAGTACACATTCATCCTCTACTCCCTATGGGTCGCCTTCTTGCTCTTGCTCTATTTCATTCTCAGTTACCGCGCCGAGGGCGATGACCGTGGCCGGGAGACGTACATCAGTGGAGCACGGTCCGAGGGACCAAGCGGCGTGTCTTACGACTCAGAGTACTACAGTGATGTCCACACGGAGAAGACCAAGAGCAACAGATGGGTGGCGCCTCTCGCAGCTGGTGCCACCCTGGCCGCCTTGTTCAGTCGCAAGAAGCACAAGGAGAAGGAAAAGGAGCTCAGCCGGGAGAGATCGCGATCGCGAAGCCGTAGTCGTGGGCCAGAGGTTATCGGTTCCAGACGGGGCTCGCAAAGTTACCTCCCTTCACGCAGAGATTCCGCAAGCTACTTCGAGAGCGAAAAGTACACGGACATCGATTCACGCCGGGATGACAAGAAGAAAGAAGGCGGCGGCTTCATGAAGACGTTGTTCGGAGTAGGTGCTGGTATTGGCGCAGGAAAGCTTCTGTCCGGCCTGATGAAGAAGAAGGAGAAGAGCCGACCGCACGACGAGGAATACTCTGCCGTCTCGACCGAAACTCCTCAACGCCGCCGCCCGAGTCGAAGCTACCCCGCCCAGAGTGAGTTCACCGACTACACGGACTGGACAGAAGACACCCCGCCGCCAGCACGAAGACCCCGCGAGGGTTCCATCCTGCCGCCCCCTGGGAACCCCGTCATGGCTGCTCAAGCTCTCAGCGCCGCCGAGTCTCGCACGAACCGGCCCCCTCACGCCAGGACCAGGTCCCAGTACAGCTTTGAAGATTCCGAGTACTCATCGTATGTGAGCCCGTCTAGACGTAGGGATGAGCCGCCGCCCTCAGGCGGTGCCGGTAAGGGCATCTTGGCTGGTCTGGGCTTGGGATGGTTCGCCAAGAAGATGGCCGACCGCAAGAACAAGAAGGCCGAAGAGCAGAGAATCAGGGACGAGGAAGAGATGAGGTCAGGCGTTTCGGGCTCAAGATACACGGGAGACGGCATGTCCTCCCCGTCCCGCGACAGACGCTCCTCTCGCCGCGCCAGTGGTGGACGCCGCCCGAGACCTCCCATGTCTGCCCTCAGTACAGAGATTACCGAGTTGACCGAATCCTCCGAGCTTGAGCCCCGTCCTTCCGGAATCGGCTACGGAGGGGGCCCCCCGATGCCGCCGTATTCTGCCCGCCCCCCGAGAACGCCTCCAGGTGCAGGTGCCGGCTACCCCGACTCCGTCAGCATGCCTGCGATGCCGCCAGACCCGCAGGGCATCCTCAGCCGCGAGTCCGAGAACGATGTCTACGGATCGCCCAGCGGCCGTCCGCAGCGCCGCGATTCTGCCAAACGCAGGAGGGCTGGCGATGAGGCGGCAGCGGCCGCCGTCGCCTCGGCGAGTGCCCTCGCCGCCAAGGAGGAGCAGCGTCGTCGCGCAGAGTCTGAGCGCTTCGGCCAATCCACGCTGGCGCCCGTCAGCGTCAAGGTCAAGGTCCACGACGACAAGGACCGCAACGTCACGCTGCGCAGGCTGACCGAGGAAGAAGCCGCCGCATCCAAGCGCGACCACCGAAGACGGCGCGGCACGTCGGTGAGCAGTCTCTCCGGCACCGACGTCGGCAGCGGACGCCGCTACCGCCGTGACTCGAGCCAGAGGAGAGCAGAGGCCGCGGCCGAGCAGATGGCCGAGGCAGGTGATGGCCTCCCGCCCCCCAACCCGGCTTTCGCGGCGGGCCGGAAACCCAAGGACTCGGCCTACTACTCTGGACCGACCGGCGGCGCAAACCCCTCTGTCTCTAGCATCGGCAGCGAGCACACGCACGGCACCTGGAGCCAGATGAGCCCCTCGCCCGCCGTGCCGCCGGCCGGCCTGAACCCCACGGGATCCGCCGCGGAAAACAACCGGAGAAGGAGAAGACAGGAGCGAAGACGGAGCAGCACGAGCCGCCCGCCGGCGGGAGGAGTGGACATGTACGACTAGAACGCCGGTCAACAGTGACGGCGACGGCGTTCACGACCGACACGACATTTTGATGTAACACCCCCCGCCCGGGCGGTAAGTATGACGACCACGGTCCCTTTTTGGCATTGGGTTGGCTGCTGTCCCATCTTTGAATCGCGATATTTCAGGGAAGACTGGCACTCCAGCTATGGCGACACGACTGCTTCCTCTTCCCCTTCTCCTTCTTCATGGTTGACGGCACAAAGTACAAAAAAGATTGCATTGGGTCGGGTGTTCCTGCTGTCGCAAGCAGGCCCCGAAAGGAGTTTACGGGTGTGGAATTCTTGTCTCTGTTTCTTTTCTCTCTCGGACTCGTCGCCTCCTTTCCCCTGAGAGGGACGACATCTATCTTATAACGGTTGGAGCATGTCGCGCGATTTTCCCTCCCAAACGACTCTCACGAGTTTTACGGAAACGAAAGCAAGCCTGAGTTTGTGTGTATGTATGAAAGAATACGAACATCTCTCGATGGATGATTGTACGAAAGACAACGCGGGTATTTGTGGATAATTGGAGAGCTCGTCACCATCAAATGATTCCTGTGCAAAATGTGGCTGCAAAAATGTGATTCATAATGGTATGTCGTATTGGCTGCGTGCCTCATCATTCTAAGCAGAACTT